AGGGAGAGGGAGAGGGAGAGGGAGAGGGAGAGGGAGAAGGAGAAGGAGAAGGAGAAGGAGAAGGAGAAGGAGAAGGAGAAGGAGAAGGAAAAAGAAAAAGAGAAGGAGGAAAAGGAGAAGGAGAAAAAGGAGAAGGAGGAAAAGGAGAAGGAAAAGGAGAAGGAAAAGGAGAAGGAGGAAAGGGAGAAGGAGGAAAAGGAGAAGGATCCTGTAGATTAAGTCCATAAACACTACTAAACCCAAACAAAATCACAACCATTTTGCTCCAACTCTGAGTTGATTCAGAACATTTCACTGTCTTTACCTCAAAGAGCAAATCCTCCAAGGAAACAGGATCCATTTTGCTGTAGGTCTTCCACAAATCAACGCTGACATCCATCAACTGCAAGAGATTTTAAACACAGATTTGAAACACATTTCTGTGAAAAACATCTCAAAAGAAGGGCACAGGTTTGGGTTTAAGCTGCAGGGAGACAACCTTGGAGCTGCCCTGAGAGCCCTCCTGAACTCTGAATTTAGAAATGTTTTCACACCCCTGGTTACAAAAGAACAGAGCAGATAAAAGTGTTGTGGATCCTGCGACCCCTCATCTCCAGCGAGGGTTTGAAGCCAAGTTTTCTTTGCATCTTTCAGACAGATCATTTCATAAAGTTTGTCAAACTGAGTTAATTGCAAAGAACTGCCTTAGAAAGAACCAAATTTCAAGGTTATTCAACCTACACATGTTCTTGCTCTAAAGTAATGGTAATTTAGGCCAAGCATGTTTAAATTAGCAACACCTTCTTCCAAGTAGTAGGATGATGAATATGAGACCAATATTCAAAAATACACCCTGAAGGGACACTTGTATCTGAATGATTTCTGCATTTACAGGTTTGCCCACTACCCACTTAATTCAAAATGCAGCACCAACTGGGATTTTATTAACCCACTGCTTTACAGCTACTCCAGTTACTTGTATAATTAGGTTTGTTAATGATGATTTCCCAGGCATCGCTTCCATTCACCCACCAGCAAATTACGGAGTCCTGAGCAACTGTGACTTGTGTAGAAAGGGAGAAAAAGTCTTTAAAATACTAGAAAAAAAATCCTAAATTATCATCCTTACATTATGTTCAAATCTAACAGAACACAGAACAGAGGGAAAGTCAGCTTGAGGAGCCAAAAATGCACCAAAACACCCCCCTGTTAATAATGGCAGAAGTATTAATTCATAGATTATTTACAGTATTTCCTGCCTTAGATTGGTTTCCTTCCCCAGCAGTGACACAGAGCAGCTGCCTGACAGAGAACCTCACACAAACACTGAGCTAAAGAGTCAAGAATGGCATTTCCCACTTCAAATCCCCTTTAAGGAGGAAGAAAACAAGAACTGGCTGAACTGCCAGAGCTTCCAGGATTGCTCTTAAAACAGGAGGCCAAGAGTTTTCCCTGCTCTTTTTTGAGTGCTTTAAGGACAGAATCAACTCCCTGGACGAAAGAGGAGAGGTTCTGGCTGGGCCACACCCGTGTCTGCACTTTTTTCCAAAGCCTCCAAGGATTTGTGAAATAAATTGGGGTAATTAAAGGGCAATTAAAGAGCCAAACAACTCCTGAATGGACAGACAAATTGTCACTGAGTGATCTCACACGTCAACAAGGGTTGTTGATACTCCTCCACAAGGCTGCTCCCCTGTTTGCACTCTGCATTTAATGGTTTTTGGCAGGTTCACACAAGGTGTTACAGCACCTCGGTGGAAATAGGAAAAAAAAACCTGAGGAAAGGTATCAGTGGCAAGAGAAAAGCGCTCAGAAAGACACAGACTCACAGAGCAGATTTCTGAGCATTTGTGTACAGTTCTCCATGTGATGGGACTTTTAACAATGTACTGTGAATTCTCTGGGGGTTTTCCAGCTGTCACAAGTCAGACAAAGCCTACTCCGGCTGTAAAAAAGGAGGAGTGACAAGAAAAGCAGGACATCTGCATTGCTGTGGCACAGGCTCAAGAAAAGGAAATAAAAGGCATTTCAAATAAGTCCAGAAATGCAAAGCTGTTCTCTGTGCTGGAGTAGAATTAATAAATGGGCAAATCAAATGACACCAGTTGCTCAGAGTGGAACAGCAAATCATTATTAAATCCAGGAGCAAAATGATTTTGAGTGCTGCCCTTGTTCAGGGAGCTCTGCTGAGCCAGGAATAGATTATGTCAGGGAGGGAAGCAGATGCATCTCTTGTGTCATAACCAATGGCCCAAGAAACACAGTCACTTCTTATTCTCTCAGCTCATCTCAAGGTGTTGGTCACTAACCGGCTCCTCCTGCTCTAAAGATCTAGAACCCATCTGGGAAGACCTAGGACCCATCTGGGGAGACCTAGAACCCATCTAGTAGGATCTAGGACCCATCTGGGAAGATCTAAGACCCATCTGGGAAGATCTAGAACAAATTTGTGCCTGTCTGGATCTGGTTTAGGGCAATCTAGATACCATTTAGGAATATCTAGATCCCATTTAGGATGATCTAGAACCCGTCCATGAAGACCTATAACTCATCTAGGAAGATCTAGGATGCATCTGGGAAGACCTAGAACCCGTCTAGTAAGATCTAGAACAAGTTTGTGACTGTCTGGATCTGGTTTAGGACAATCTACATCCCATTTAGAAAGATCCAGAGCCCATTTAGGAGTATCTAGAACCTCTTTAGGAAGACCTAGAACCGATCCAGGAAGACCTATAACCCATTTGGGAAGATCTATAACACATCTAGGAAGATTTATAACCCATGCAGGAAGATCTAGAACCTGTGTAAGAAGATCTAAAACCCAGCTAGGAAGGTCTGTAATCCATGAAGGAAGATTTATAACTCATTTAGGAAGATCTAGAACCCATGCAGGAAGATCTAGAGTCTGTGTGAGAACATCTAAAACCCATCCAAGGAGACCTAGAACCCATCCAAGAATATCTAGAACCCATTTAATAAGATCTAGAAAATTTATGACTGTCTGGATCTGGTTTAGTACAGTCTAGACCCCATTTAGGAAGATCTAGAACCCATTTGGGAAGATCTATGACACATCCAGGAAGATCTATAACACATCCAGGAAGATCTAGAACCTGTGTGAGAAGACCTAAAACCCACCTAGGAAGGTCTGTAACCCATCTAGAAGAGCCAAAAAACCTGGGTTATTGGTAATGTTGACTCTAGAAGGAAAGGAAAACAGTTCTAAATCAAAATAAGGGGTTAGAGAGGGTGACCAAACAATCCTGGTTTATCCAGGACAGGGTGTTGTGGAGCTCAGAACAGTCCCCCACCGGGACTGTGGTGTTTCCTTCCCAGCACATTCAAAACTCAGCTTCACAACATCCCGAAAAACTTCATCCAATTTGGAACCTCCCTTGAGCTGTGAGTCAGGACTAGATGATCTCAGAAGGTGTTTTCCAAGTGAGAGAATTCCATGATTAACTCCTGCCTCAGAAAGGAAGTGAAAATGGCAGCACTCACCTCGTATTTCATGGTGAAGAAGCCGTCGCCCCCGATCCCCTCCAGAGCAAAGGCCTGAACGATCGGCCACTTCTCCACGATGAACATGTCAAATATCTGCAGGTGACCTGCAAAGGACAGGGAGCACAGGGACATCCCCTCACAAATCCTGGCAGTTTAACTTTCTGGGAGGTCTCACAGTTGGCCTGAATTCGCAGAGGATCTCGATTAACCTGCCTTTGTACAACTGGAAATATTTAAGTGAAAAGTGGGTTTGATTCTTGAGTAAAACACTGTCACAGAATAACAGAATGGTTTGGGTTGGAAGGGACCTTTAAGATCAGTCCTACCCCCTGCCATGGGCAGGGACACCTTCCACTAGCCCCATCCAACCTGGCCTTGGACACTTCCAGGGATCCAGGGGCAGCCACAGCTTCTCTGGGCAACCTGTGTCAGGGCCTCCTCACCCTCCCAGCCAGGAATTTCTTCCATCATTCCCACTTAATTATAATTTTAAGCCAAGGGAGAGAAAAACTATTCATCCTGCACTCCTTGGAGCAGCTGTAAACCACATGAAGTGTGACTGCCACCCTTAAGCTCCACACCTTCTTCAGATCCTTCCTAACACAGAACCCTCGTCCTTCCCCCCTGCCCTGACCCATTAACGACCTTCCAGGCAGTCAGAGCTTATCACCCCTTCCTCAAAGGAAGCAATTGGGAATTAGGAATAAAAAAGGAATGTGAGATTACAGTGCTGAGGCTGCAGGGCTGGCTCCAGAGCCCAACAGGAAGCTGTGCAGGGCAGCTCTTTCAGTGCTAAAAAGGGAAACTTGCACAACGAAACGTTTATTCTTCCCTTAAATAAAGGAGGATTTCTCTGGAGCTCCCATGGGAACAGAGAACTTCTGCAGCAGCACAACACACTTCTCTGAATGCAAATCATTCCTCTGCCTCACACTGTGAGTGTTCCCTCCTCAGATCCAGTCCGAGGGCTTCCACTCCTCAGAAATGGAATTCGGCAGAAAAAAAAATCCACCTCTGAAGGAAAAAGAGGCTGAAAGGAACCTACTGACACACTTATAATGCTTATTTCTTCCCAAAGGCGAGGAAATCTCCATTCCCTGAACTTGGATGTGCAAAGCACTTCAGCTCTGAGGATAAACCAACCCAACCTACCCTGGCAGCTGTAGGGAATCCCGATCCGGCTGCAGTCCCGGACCATGTCCACAAAGCTGGAGATCTTGAATTCCTCAGCGGCTTCTTCGTCTTCATACTGAAAGAAGCCATTTAAAAATCAAGCTGGATTAGGCAAGCCCTGATTTGTTTGGTAGGCAAGTGAATATGTAGCATGTAAACCACTAAAATATCACCTACAACTTCCAGGAGCTAAAGCACCTCTTTTACTCCCGGCGTTAGAAATTCCAGCACGGCAGCAACGGCACTGAAGGCAATGGAAATCATCCTTTTGGAAACAGTTCTTTTGAAAAAAAGAAACTTCAGAGAAAGTTTTTTAATACTGGTAGATGAAGGTATAATTATATACTTTATTTTCAGCTCTCAGCGAAGACTTTCAGTATCATCCACTGGATTTAAAAAATGAAAGGTATTTTTAGAACGCTGACCCACGTGTCACAGAAAATGTGCCACAAAAAACACGGCCCTGAGGAAAAATGGTCAGGACACAGAATAAGGAATAGCTGTGGGAGGGAGAGGTGGACTGTAGGAAAAGGAGAGGGAAAGGAGACACCACCATGCAGCACCATGTTGCTGCTTCATGACTGAAGTCACTGAAGACTTCAGCAGACTGAAGGACAAATGTTGTGGCTCAGAAAAGCATAAAAACTACACTGAAGAGACAAATCAGACTAAAATCATGCTTATAACAGGAAAAAATTAAACCTGGAAACACAGTGGTTTTTATCTGGAAAGGTAACAGTTCAGCAGCAAATCTGGAACCAACTCCTTCAAGAGTCACTTGTTTTCTGGAGCAAGATCAGAAGGTGGTGGTGGTTTGCCTACTTTATTTTATTTATATTTTTATATACAGTGCTCTGAACTTCTTATCAAGGCAAATGACATGATTATGAACTTGTTGTGTGCAGCTCCTGTGAGCTCCAGGGTACACACCCAAGACATTTCTTTTAAGAACAAGTTCTTTTAAGCCCAGCCTGAATTTAAGATGCAGCCCCAGTTCCTCCTTCAATCCCAGGAAGTCAGATCAAAGTCCCAGCTCAAAGCCAAGCCTCAAACAACTGCCAGTTTCTCAAGGCTCAAAAATGCCATTGGAATAAAAACTTGGGAGTTTGGCAGGGTGCTAAAGGCTTGCTCCCAGGCTGCTCTTGCAGGAATAAATTCAGCCAGTTAAAGGTAAGGCCAAGACAACCCAAAATGTACTGCATCAAATTTCACCACTTTATCCTATTTGGCCATTTTGAAAATGGGCATTTTTTAAATATATCAAGATTTTTTTTCCCTTTAAGGATATTCCCCTAAATTCCTGTGGTCTAGTTAAAAGCAAGTAGGAAGAAAGGAAGGAGAGGCTGCAGGTTTTGTCAGAGCCAGGTAAAGCACTGTTTTATTTATTTCTAAAACCTTTGAGCTTTTTTGGTTCCATGTTTTAAAAAGCAAGTAAAAGTTATTCCTATCATTAAAAAAAAAAAAAAAAAGGGCTTAAAAGCCACAATCCTCCTATAAACAGGATGTACTTAAAGCCTGACACAGCAAGGTTTTGTTTCCCTCTCAGCAGCAATCAGGGAAACAGGCACTCCACATACATTGGGAACGTGGCTGGAAGTGCTCAGCAGTGAAGCAAAACTGCATTTTCAGCTTCAAAAAAAAAAAAAAATCAAACCTTTAATTCATTCCCACAAATAACAAGGCCCATGGATCACCTTTGTAGTTACATCATTCTTTCCAGGCAGCACTGTGTGATTAAGGTTAGGACTTACCAAGATAAATCATATCAGAGCCTGGCAGCAGATGGAGCTTAAAATGCAATAGCTGAGATTGCAGCTGCACTGGCAACAGGCTGGTGGGAGCTGCTCCACTCCTGATTTCCAAAAGACATGTGTTTTACACCAGCAGATTTGCCCTTCCTGCAGGGGTTTTGGCAGCAGGAAAGCCTTACAAGGCCAGGCTTTAGGTTTTGCCACAGCAGGTTTGAACCCGTAGCTCAGTTGTTTGTGTCTTTATCAAGAATTATCCCTCTCTGAAGGGCTGGTGGGACTGTGTTGAGAACAGGCAGCCAGTTTTGGGATCCAGGGAGCAGGAAAACACGGGCAAACTGGAGTAAGGGCAGTGGAAGGACACCACGATGATGGAGCCTCTGTCCCAAAAGCTGGGACCTCAGAGCTTCTGTCCCACACCCACCGAAATATTGTTGAGATGGTGGAGCCAAGTTCTCCACAGAGGTCGTGACAAAGGGATGATTCAAAACAAGAGAGGTTCAGATTTGGCAAAAGGAAACCCTTTTTCACCGTGAGCACGGTCAGGAAATGGAGCAGACAGCCAAGAGAAGCTCTGCAGGCATCAACCTTGGATGTTTTCAACATCCAGCTGCAAGAAAACCTTGAGTAACCTGAGCTGATCTCATCACCCACCCTGCCTTAGGCAAGAGGTTGGACAAGACGGTGTCTTACAACCAGAATTATTTCCTAATTCTGTGATTAAACCAGCAGCCAGCCACATGAAAACACAATTAATTTGTCAGAAGCCCCAACACCTTCAAGCTGGAAGCTCAAGGGAGCAAAAGGTTTCTCTCCTTGATCTTCCTGTTCATTCTTGCACCAGCTTCACCCTCTGACACTGCAGCTCCAAACCCCACTCCCTGGGGATCTCAGTGTCACTCTAACTTAGAAAAGGAGTTACATAATTAAGGAAGAAGCATTTCCACTCTCAACTGGAATGTAAAGATCCTTATTCTACACCTAGACAAGCAGTATTTTTATTTTTAACTCCTCTAACAGTACTTGAACAAACACAGTTTTTCTAGAAAACACCTTCATTTTTAAATGTAAGAAGAAACTTGTACCACTCATGTGGTGCAGTTACTAGTTCTCGAAAGAAAGATTTGAGAGTTGAAATGAAAATACATAATAAAATTTCTACATTTTTTAACTGCTTTCTAAGCTGACCTTTTCTAATACTCTTAAACTACTGGTAACCAATGAATTCAAACACTGCCCTGGCAGCAAAAAGGGCTATTGCTGGAAATCTCAGTGTTGATTGTGGTGCTTGATTCAGATTTTGCATTTCTCACAACCCACATGTTTTCCCTCATTAAAAGATCATTGACTCATGTCAAAACAATAGTAATTAGTGGGAGAGGGGAGCCATTTGTCTTCACAAAAAAGTACTGACATCATATTCTTCTTGCAAATGATTAATCCCCACTCAAGACACCCAGATCACTCCCCTGCTGAGGAGCAAAAGGAAGAAAGACTTCTGGGAGGGATGTCAAAGAAAGTTCCACTTTAAATATCAGTTCATTAACAAGTTCATTAGTGATCCTTGTCTGCACTCATTTGTCACTCACCTCATTTTCAGTGAGACAGTGAAAATGCAGGTTCCTCCAGTGAGCCACATAGGGCAGGAGCTGGTTATAATTCACAGGGTTGCAGTACAGATGAACACTGTCAGGTTTGATTAATATGATTATATCTGCAAGGAGAAGAAGAAAGATTATTGCAGCACCAGGAGTCCCCATACAGGCAGAAAAAACCAAAGAGAAAAAACACTTTTGTATCATGAACCTCATTAAAAGAAAACTGTTGAACTGTGTGAGTGCACAGGAACTCCTGATTTGTTTGCAACAAGAGAAGGAAACAGTTTGGCTCTGAGTAGCACAGCACTTGTTACAGTTCCAGACAACTGTGGGCTTATTCCAAGCTCTTGCACAGCACTTGCATCAGCCTGTCCTTGGAGCAGCCAGGAGTGTTGGGATGAGCCTTCCCAGAGCACTTCCAGAGCTCTGAACTCCAACTGCTCCTGCCTGATGTCACATCAGCAACTTGCTCCAGCTCAAAGAGGCCAGCAGGGCCTAGGGGGTGCATATCCAAAGTTTCATGCAAATAAGGGAATAATAATCCACCATCAGGGTGGACTGGCCACCTTCCAAATGTCACAGAGGTGAGTTGGGGAAGGGAAAAAGAGCTCAAGTATTTTAGAGCTGCAGAGGTGTGATCACAGTAATTAATGACGTGTGCACACACACCAGGACTGAACTGAGGGATTCTGGTAAAGTTCACAACATTTGAGGGACTTGTGGAGTGCAAAACACACGGAATATATCTTCTAATGTTCAAAAATGAGTTACTCATTGGTGTTTTTAAGAACCACCTTCAGGTGTGCAAACACAACTTGAGATTTAATGAATTTTTTTGTTTTCTATCCCATGTTTTCTGCTCCATTTTCCCACCAGAAAGGCTGAAGAGCAGCTAAAACTGTTGAGCAGGTTCCTCACCATCAAGCACCTCCTTAGGAAAGCCTGTCCTCTCAAACTGACTCAACTAATGGACTCTGGTTAAGTTTATAACATTTGAGGGACTTGTGGAGCATAAAACACGTGGAAAATAACTTTTAATGATCAAAAATAAGTTCCTGAGCAGTGGTTTTAAGAACCATCTTCAGGTGTACAAACACAACTTGAGATTTAAAGACTGCTTTTGTTTTGTATCCCACTTTTTCTGTTCCATTTCTCTCCAGGAAGGCTGAAGAGCAGCTAAAAATGTTGAGCAGGTTCCTCACCATCAAGCACCTC